CATCCATCCACCCACCCATCCATCCATCCTTCCACCCACCCATCCATCCATCCATCCATTCTGTCTGTCCATCATCTGAACACCTATCATGTTAGATGTTGAGGGTATGACGGTGAATGTGATAGGTACTCTGCTGGCATGCCCTCACAGTGTGGAAACGTATAAAAAAGATCCTATGAGTGATTCTAAAACTACTAATAATGTTATAGATCTAATAATATTATAGATATGCCCCCCTCACATCCTCTTCCTTCATCACTATTTGTTTTGGGCAACAAAGTAGACCCATTATTGTTTGTTTGTTTTTATTTTTTATTATAATCTCAGCAAAAAGAAAATGCTATCAGCCAAATAAACGTAGAGTGGGTTCAGTCGAATGTACCTCAAACCACACTAGTTGCTGTGGGTCTTGACTCGCGAAGACCACCACCGGGTGTGGCAGAGCAGACCTGTGCGCCGAGGGGTTTTCAGGGACTGTGGTTCCTTTGAGAGACTGCTGGGTACAGAGACTGCCCAGCACTTAACTTTTTACACCCACGATGGTTGAAGGCGGTGATGTTAGAACTAACTGTCGAGTCAGCTCGGACTCAGAAGGACCTCAGACAGGACGGAGTGAAACATGGCCCGGGCCATGTTCTTATGTCTGAGCCATTGGTGCAGCCAGTCCATCTCTTCAGGGGTCTTCCTTGTTCACGGACCCTGGTGGAAGGGCCGGTGAGGGATGGCGCAGGGCGGGCCAGTGTTTCGTTCTGTGGTGCACGCACGGGTCGCTGTGAGTCAGAGCTGATGCCCTGGCACCTCGTGACAGCTACAGCATCTTGTTGAGGAGAATGCTGCCAGGTGCCATCCAGTCGCTTGTGACTCACGGTGACCCCGTGCACGACAGGAGAAAACACGGCCCGCTCCTGCACTGGACCCATTACCGCAGCCAGTAGGTCAACTCTTCTCGTTGAAGGTCTTCCTCTTTTTCACTTGGTCCCTGACTCTTTATCAAGGACGGCGCCCTTTCCGGGCTTTCTTGATAACCTGTCCAATGTATATGGTGACAGGTGTTGGTGTTAGATGCCGGCAAGTTAGTGCCAACCCGTGGCGCCCCTGTGTCCAGCAGAACGTGCCGGGCCCTGCACAATCCTCACAGTGGTTCCCGTGCTTGAGCCCATTGGTGCGGTCACCATGTTGATCCATCTGGCCAAGGGCCTGCCTCTGTTTGGCTGCCCTGATAGTTCACCACCACGTCCTTCTCCAGGGACTGGTCTCTCCTGACAGCATGTCCCAAGAGCATGAGAGTCTTGCCATCTGCTGCTCTAAGGAGCGCTCTGGGAAAGGTCGAGCAGCCCAAAGCCTCTTGCAGGCTACCCTTGAGGTACCCCCTCAAGCCACTGACCTGGGTCTCTGTTCTCCATCTAATACGATTTCACGTCTGACCGCGGTGTTTCGTTCTTCATATAAGGCACTGGCCCAGCTGTAGAGGCCACTGGGATGAACGTGTGAATTCAGACCCTCAGATCTCATAAGCCACAGAATGGGACCCTCACCGCCTCTTTGAGCCTGGTCCGTTTCTAACCCAGAGCAGTTTGCCGGAGGGCCACTAAAACACTCTCCAGCCTCCTCCCCAGCCCTCTGTCCTTGTGTAAGACCACCGATAACCAGCTGATAATGGCCTCCCCGTCCCTGTTCTCCGGAGATCAGACAGAGGCGCACAAACATGTCTGCTTCTAGTTGTCTCTGCACGTTTGGGTGACGAAATTATTTAACCGTGCCTAATTTCCCTTCGGACAGAAGGAGGGGATTTCCACGATGATTACAGACAAGGGGCAGTTCTGCCTCAGGCCAATTAAGTGAGAACAGTGGATGCGGACGGCGGGGACCCGGGAAGGGAGTGCACATCGGGCCGCAGGCGTAATCAGCCTCTTTGTTTGGTTCCTTCTGATCCTCTGCATCGTGACAGCCTCCGTGCTGCCGGCCATTGGACGCCGTGACATTTACACAGGACCAGGCCGTGTGGCACGTGTTCCCATTGGAATTGCTCGAGCGAGCGCCCTGCCGCCGCCTAGCCCTTGCAACACAGCCACCCCACGTTCTGAGCTCCCATTTAAGTTTGCCTGCCTGCCTGCACCCCCATTATGCCTGCCCCTCCCCCAATGCCTTCTTCCACTCCCTCTCCCTTCTAGCATTTTTACCCATTTCATATTCAACTCAAAGATGACCAAGTGTTTGGTTTTTGTTTGGGGTTTTTTTGAATACACAGTTTGGCTTCAAACAGATGGACTGCCGATGTAGGCTAAGGTTGGCTGCAATAGCCCAGTTGAATGAATTTCATTTGGTTCCCACATTGTTTTTTAAAAGATCGTATTTTTTTTTTTTTTAAAGATCCTATTTTTAATTGGAAGGCTTTGGGCCCAGCAAACACTTCCCAGTTTGCCGTCCTCCCTGCCCTTCTGTATTGTCTCACAGCCAGCCTGCTTCCTGGGGTTACGTTACCGTCCTGTTTCTAGCGTCAGCCGAGTCCTTGGTGAATCCCAAGTCTTTTTCGGTCCGTCTTCCTTGGGGATCTTCGCTGTGCGATCTAAAAGCCTAGAGGAGGACACGCAGACCGCTTGCTACTCCGTAGTATCACACAGGCAGGGTAGTTAGAAGCACCGGAGAGCTGTAAGTGCAGTAGAATCCTCACCTACCCTGCAGAAGACCCAGGTTCGATTCCTGGCGAGTGTACCCTCTGTCAGCAGAGGCTCATGTATTGCTGGATGCATAACAGATTTGGGCAGAGCTTCCCCACTCAGACAGACTAGGATGAAGGCCTGGCAAGTCTATTCCTAAAATTCTGCCAGCGAAAACCCTATTGAGCACAATCTGTAGCCTGTCCAGGGCTTGGTGCAGGATTGGGCAGCGTTTTTGCCTCACTGTGCCCTGGGCTGGGAGCCCTGGTAGTGTAGTGGTTACGAGTCAAGCTACTAACCGAAAGGTCAGCAGTTCAAAGCCACCATCTGCTCCATGGTAGCAAGATTAGGCTTTCTACCTGCATAAAGATTTCCAGTCTCAGAAACCTACAAGGGTAGCTCTCCCCTATCCAATGGGGTCACTATGATTAGCAATCGGCTTAGTGGCAGCGAGGCCTATGGGGTCCCATCTGCCTGTTAGTCTCCATACTGGAGGAAGGTGTTGCTAGTTTTAGCACCAGGTTTACAGGACGCGTCATTTTGACACTTTTTTATTTCCTCAGTGAAAAATCACAGAAACGGTGTGCATTTATTTACCTCCTGTCATTCATGCTGACTTATCCATTTAATGAGACAAATAAATATACAAATCCACTTCCTTCTCAGCCGTCTGGTCTCATAATTCTGTGTGGTGTACCTATCTACAGATACACGTCAATTTGACGCGAACGTAAATTGAGTATTAATCCCAGCAAGCCGGTTTCATTCATGAAAGCATTACTTCGGTAATGAGCCTAGTCCAAACCGTCTTAGAAGGCAGACGTCAGAGGTAAAGACAAAGGGTGCAGCGGAGAGTGTCGTGTCAACCTACCCAAGTTACCCGTAGGATGCGTCAAGTCCAACGTCTCAAATGTTGTGTCTTGTTAAATATTACACATTTTACAGCAAGAACATGGCATCACGTGGTTTCATTCATAAGTTAATAGTGTATGGCGATGTAGTGTTTAAAGACAGTGTTTTTCAAAGACAGTGTGCAGTTCCGTTCTCGCGTCAATTTGTCGCATGTCCCTAGAGATTAGGTATATAATAAAGGTCCGTAAATCTGTTAACAAAACCCTGCTTTCTTTTGTTTGTCCTTCTCGGTTTCCCAGCAGATATTTGGAGTGACCATTCATTTCAGACCGATCCGGATTTGCCGCCCGGCTGGAAAAGAGTCAATGACATCGCTGGGACCTACTACTGGCACATCCCCACGGGCACGACGCAGTGGGAGCGCCCGGTCTCCATGCCGGCAGACCTCCAGGGCTCCAGGAAAGGGTCCCTGAGTTCTGTCACACCCTCTCCCACCCCGGAGAACGAGGTAAGACCCCGTGCAGCCTTCACGGCTTCTGAGAGTGGGTGCTCTTGTAGTTTCTCCGTAGACCAGTAGCGGCTGTCCTGTATGGTCATCCAGGTGACGCCCCTTGGAGACTTTCCTTACCGTCAGTGGTGTCCCAGCTGCACAAAGCAAGAGGGGCTGATGAGTGAGGGGTGGCTAAGACCATGGGGCTCTTGGAGACGGGACTCTCCTCTGCAGGCGCCCAGCCTGGCCCGGGGATGGCTCCCTGCAGTGTTTACCGGCAGACCTCTCTGGGCCAGGTGTGTGAGGTGAGCCTCACGCCATGGGAGGGGTCCTTTGGTCCTGTGGAGAGGGTGTGTGTAATCCTTGAAAGGCCTTCATTTCTTTTTCTTTTTTAAATAATAATAAAAGGGATGTGTCTGTTTAGCACAGGTGACATGATTTGAGAAATCATTAACTGCTTGAATTTCTGCTCTGGGTGCTTAAACAAAGAGTGGCGCCATTCAAGGGTCCCAGTGTGGTTCTCTCTCAGATCAAGAGCCTTGCCACTAGGAACCTTGGTGGATTGAGAGGATTACAGTTGGAAAAGGTCACAATTAAGTAATGACTTTGGGGTTGGGGTTTTTTCCCCTTCTTTTTGGTTAGAGAAGTCGTTTGCTCCCTGACATGGGGGGCTATGACGGACCTATTTCTGACCGTGGCCATTTACTCTGTCGTTTGTCCTTTGGCAAGCCCTCCCCTTGGAGGACGGAGTCTGTGGGCTAGACATCCTGCCTGCAGCACTTCTCAATACGTTTGCAACTGTTGTCTAGTTAAAAGCAATGACAGTCGTATTTCTGACATCTTTGATGATTTCACTTGCTTTTCCCTCAAAAAACAGACAAACCCAAGCTCACTGCCAGTTCTGCCTCCTAGCCACCTTCTCGGACAGCGTGGAGAGCCTCAGCTTTCTCACTCAGAGCCACGTGTGGTTTCAAACTGCTGGCCTTGTGCTTCCCAGCCCGCTACGTAACTCACTTTGCTCCCCTGGGAAGCAGTGATTCCTTCCTTCGAAACTCTTTTCTGCCTCCTGACAGCACGAGGCTTGGGAATCTCCCGGACCCAGGCTAGGCCTCCGATCCCTCAGCTTAAAAATGGTCCGTGGCGGTGAGCTGTGTCTTCTTTGGTAGACCAGGACCTGGGCTTAGCTTGCCCTGGTTAGCAGGAACACATCTTACTCAGTATCATGGAACCACGTAGGATTGTACTGACTGTCACTGAGATGTGTTTATACAATATTCACACCCCCTGAGAAGTTCCTATTCCACATGAGTCTGTCCTGTACACGGCATCCTGAGGACAAAGACGAACCAAGCAGCCCCAGTCTCTAAGGACTTAGTAGGAAATGTGGGGCCTTCTTCCTATTCCTGCCCAGGTGGGTGCTTGGATTCCCCTTTGTACACAAAGTGGCCTCTTAGAAGCCAAGCCAACCATTGCACCCTCTGCTCTAAGGCTTTGTGGGCTTGTTTCTTCCTTCCTCTTGGCTTCTCGGTTAGGATCGCTCTCTCTCTGTCCCAGTGCTGTATTCTCCTTCAGCATCTTCACCAGTCAGGGGTGCCCGACAGCCAGAGACGGCTAGGGAAAGAAGGTTGGTCTGGTGCCAACATCCATCCCTCAGAGACGGGGAGACCGAGAGGCCGAGAAGTGAGACCGCTTTGAGGAGTTGTGCTCAGGTCTTGTGTAAGAGGCACCCCTCTTGGGATGCTGTGCTGTGCTCGTGATTAGATGGGCTATGGGTTCAAGGGAGGGTGACGACAGGGTTAAAGTGCCATCGCATTACCTGGCAAGGCTACATTAATAGGATCGCTGACTGGATGCTGACTGTGATCGCTTTGCTTGAGTTTCACAAAAATGTGTGTCCACTTGGCTGGCCGTTGATTCTCAGAAATGAGGCAGCCGTGTCACGATGTCACTTGACAGGTGTGTAAAGATGCAGTCCTTTCTGATGATGTGATCTGATGTGATCAGCCAATCCGTTGTGAGGGGCTTAGACTTCCTTACCGAGGTCACCATCCTGATGGATGGGAGGGAAATTCCCTGGGCCGTGACCCCCATCGCCTTGTGTGTTCTGAGAGGTAAAAGGAGCCGGAAAGAGGGACTTCAGAACCACCACCTGGGAGGGCAGCACAGCCTTTGGATCCAGAGCCCCTGAGCAAAGAACCATCTTGACCCGGAGGAAGCTGGGTGCCGAGAAGCTGGCTGGAGCTCTCCCAGGACCACCAGGCCACAGCTGCTGAAAGGAGCTGCCGACCTGCCTCCAGAAGCGGCAGAGAAAGAAAGCCCTCCCCTGGGGCTGTGGCCCCCAGATCGGGCATCTGGGCTCCTGAACTGCGAGGGAGACAGCTCTGTTTGTGAAAGCCCTCCACGTGCAGCGTTATGACTGCTAGGGCAGTATCCGATCACTGTGGATTTGATACCCAGGCTCATCTTCATAGACCAACAGGCTTCCCTGCTTCAGAGCTGCCGTTAGGTGGTTCATGCCCTACCACATGTTCCTCCTGTGTGGTCTAGTGGTTATGAGGGGGCTGCTAACGGCAAGGACGGCAGTTCAAAACCACCAGCTCCTCTTCAGCAGAAAGATGAGGCTCTCTACGCCCTTGAAGAGTTGCCGTCTGGGAAATCCGCAGGGGCAGTTCTCCCGTCCTGTAGGGTCACCGTAAGTTGGTATCCACTTGACGACAGTATGTTTTGCCTGAGGCCAGGC